CGAATTGATTTATTCCAGGATTTTGAAACTATGATTGAAGAAGCATGATATGAAGCCCATATGTCTTCAAACTTATGAATTATGTTCTTCCTAGGAGTGGAGTTAAAGATCTTCAATACAATTGGACAGTGGTCCGAAGCCACTCTTGCAAGATGTCTTATAGCAGTTAAGTGAATCTTTTCCAAAGCAAAAAAGTTCAATAATCATCTATCCAATCTCTCCAAAATACATCCACCACCACTTTTATTATTGCACCAAGTGAATTTAGGACCCACAAGGCCCACTTCATGAAAATCATTGTTATTCATAAATAACTTCATCTCCTTAGGACCTTGAGAGAAAACAAATTTCCAACCCCCCCACCTCCTGGTCCGAAGCCACTCTTGCAAGATGTCTTACAGCAGTTAAGTGAATCTTTTCCAAAGAAAAAAAGTTCAATAATCATCTATCCAATCTCTTCAAAATACATCCACCACCACTTTTATTATTGCACCAAGTGAATTTAGGACCCACAAGGCCCACTTCATGAAAATCATTGTTATTCATAAATAACTTCATCTCCTTAGGACTTTGAGAGAAAACAAATTTCCAACCCCCCCCCCCCCCTCCTTATCATCTTGAGACAGAATATAGTTAAAGTCCCAACCAATCACCGAAAGGGATATTTCTATGAGAAAATGATTGAAGACTATCCCACAAGTTCCTCATTTTACAAACATCCTTGCCACCATAAATTGTAGATACCATCCACACACCTTTGCTAAAAACATTTAAATCACCAATAACACTTTGGGAGGAAGCCTCCAAAACCAAGAAGGAAGGCAAATCCGATCTCCAAATGACCATAATTCCGCATGGCATTCCATCAGAGGGAAGCACGAAAAATCCTAATATAAACCCATAAATTTATTGAATTCCACTCTATCAATGACAGAATTTTTTGTCTCCACAATACACACAAAAAACACATCAAAATATTTTACAAATTCTTTTAAATAAAGAGAGGCTCCTCTTTTTTTTGCTCCTCTCAATTCTAAAAAGCTATGGAACTTATTACTCAATTAAGGGGGAAGAGTCCCCGCCCTTTCCTTTGCTCAATCCCTCTAGATTTCTAATACGTGGAAGGATTCTCACCGGTCTGAGGGACTTAAGCTCCTTGGAGAGCTTATTTTTTTGCTGCACCTGAGCTGCCATCAACCTCTTTACAATTAGCAAGCTTCATAAAATGCTCATTACTTCTCAAGCCTTTATCACCCTTACTCATAATAGCATTCATATGATCCAAAGAAGCATTAGGTTCTTTGCCAAATTCCGAGCTTTTTCTGGAAGTATCTTCACTATCTAATTCTTCATAGCAGCTTCCATTTAAAGCAACATTTATTTATAACAATGGGAATTTCAAAAGAAATAGAAACAAAATTCATACCAGGTCCTGGATTAGAAAGCACCAAATTTCCTTCTGCAATCTTATTCTGCTCCCCAGAATTTCCTTGTACAGCAGCTGCTCCTTCCTATTTGTCCACGGGAGAAAATGACAACTTCTTTAGTAACAATATTCAGCTCCTTATTCCCTCCTAACACCAAGCTAGTATACTTTGCTTTGTCATCTGGCACTGATCTACTTATCTTCACAGCATCACCTATTGAAGGATTAATCGAATTTTTCATCCTGAACATCTTCTGACCAACATTATGATTCGGTCTAGCTGGAAATGATCTCTTCTTCCTACCATAATTCGCATGAACCCAAGGTCAATACGAAGAGCTTATATCAATGTCATTCTGAAGAGCATTTTTAGATCTACTCTGCTCAGATTTACTAGCCTCATTCACTGATTCCTTGATAGGAAAAGTTCTATGCAAGCAATCATTCCTTTCATGTCCAATCCTTCCACAATCATAGCAAAATGTCTAGATCTTCTCATACTCAATTCTTTGGAAAAAATGCCCAGACCATCTTTCAACCCAAACTCCTAAAGGAAGTTGGTTATCCAACCCAACCCGAACACATACTCTTGCAAATTCTCCCCTCCCCCATTGAAACATATTTCAATCTAACATTAATGATTTTCCCACCTTAGAGGCAATTCTAGTCACATTTACCTCAACATTGCAAGGGTAAGTGAGGCATTCTTTTTCACATTGGAGATGTTAGACCCTTCATGGAAGAAGGAGAAAAACTCAGCAACCATTTATCAAGTCCAATAATATGCTCATTCACATGCCATGGGCCTCCTGTAAGAACAAATTTCATAGCTTCAAATGATTGGAACGAACACAAAACCAATCCAATCCCAAGAATAGTAAGATGAAACTAACCAAACTGAGCCCATTGACGTCTCAATTCAGCTGCAATAATATGAATAGGAATTTCTTTACCAAATACCTTAACTACCACAGCAAATTGTAATTTGTTAGCATTAGCCATTTCATTAGGAGTATGTAACTTAACAGCAACACCATCATCCATCAAAAAAGATTCCCCCTTTTAAAATTAATTTTTATGTAAGGACGTTTTGATCAGGGTTCCATGCCACTTTTATTCATCTCTTTATCAACCACAAATTCCCTTACCACATTCGAACAATAAGCTCCCGCATTCAAACCATCATCAACCTCTTTCCTGTTATTAGGAATACTCACAGCATCCGTTGGCGAAGATATCTTATTCAGTTCGAGATCCGAATTTAACTCGGTATTAGAGTTAAAATTGCCAAACCTATTGACAAAAATCTTCATGCCTGAAGAAGAAGCCTCATGATCGTTGGCCTTCGTAAGAGATTTTGACGGAGACTTAGACGAACGAGGAGTTTTATACTCCAAATCTTAAACTACATCTTTCCCTTTTCCTTCCACAGGAGGATTTTTCTTTACTACATCAGATAAATTTTCTCTAATCACCAGAGGGCCTTCATTCAATGATCTTCTGAGAGCAAATCCATTTGAATCCAACCTCTCGACAATAGAGCGAATACGATTTACTTCACTATGAGCATGTGAACTTCCTTGGGGACGAACCACTGGAGTTGATGCCGCAGATGGGCAGCAGCCATCTGCCGCAGATGGGCAGCAGCTATCTGCCGCCATACCCGAACTTTCCACAGGAAGAACGGAATTCAAAAAAGAAAATTTGAAACGGGACTTTCTCTCACTAAACGGAATTAAAATAAAATGATGGATCTATATCCAAGATTCCATATTCAAAATTTTGAGGATTTTTCTTTGCCTCTTGAAGTTGATCAACCTTCCTCTATCAAAGATTCCATATTCAAAATATACAACATAGCATTAGACATTATTTTGCTCTCCATCTCATTCCACCACCTTTTTTCTTAGATTTGCAACACTTATATCTAATTTGTCATTGAATAGTTAAAGCTACAATGTTATGCAAACATTATAAAAACCATCAGCACTTTTTTTTAACCTTGCATCATATTTTTCATGTACAAATATTCTTTTATAATTATTTTCTCTATCCCTCATACATGTCAATGCAACCATCGGTTATTGATGACAATATATTTATGATTGCTTCAAGTTTTATTATCTTTCATACATGGAAGTTGCACATGAGAACTTTATGACCGTATTTTTTTTTATTAAGTGGATAGATTGATTCAGACAGAGTCCGGATGATTTAACATTGTAAACCTTCTTAAAAAGATAAACTATTTATTTGTTTTGATTGTTTGAAAACTTTCTTCAGCTGGAAATAAGTTAATTTTCATCACGAATATGGCAGTCTAGCCGGGCTCTCTTCCTTGGTGTAATTCGAAGAATCCTAGGTGTTGTTTCAAGGGGAACCTTAACTGAAACAATTCCAAGAAATTAAACCATTCCTAGACTAGATTATATTTTCCCTGTCCTCCTAGTTGACAGACTTCGGAAGAGTAATAGGGATACAGAACCAGATCCAGTACATCATAGTCCCATGTCCTCCGCATCAGGCATAAAAGGACTAAGCATAAATATCTTGTCCAGAAGAAGCTAATAAGGACTGTTCATCGTACTATATACCAGAAACAATTAAACAAACAACATAAAGAGATTAAATGCCTAAGTGGAGATTACAATAAAGGGAAGGGCAGACAATAGCATAAAATAACAAAAAACTGGTAAATGTTCTTTTCATATGCATTGCATTTAAAAAAAAAGTAACAAATTTCGTATATGCCCAAGAGATAGGCTTTAAATATAACACTCACAGCAAATAGGAAATTAAGCTGCCACACTTATCCAAAAAAAAAAACAAGATGAACAGCTTAATAATATTTCCAAATATTGCAAAACAAAAGATTCATTAAAGATCAAAACAATGCAGGAAGTATGTAGAAACTGTGGTTCACATTTGACATACATTTCTCCAAGCACGTCAAATCTGACATGATTTAACTGGAAACTATAAAACCCTGTATTAAAAATAAAAGCAATCATAGAAATAGTTTTGCAAATTAAAGACAGAAGGAGCTCGTAGATATTTTGATATGAATGATTAAAATAATGAATGAAGTTTATTGGAACCATTTCACACATCAAAGGAATTGTCAACACAAGCTAAGTGAAATATCAAGAAAGTTTCAACAAGTCAAGGAGTCTACTTTAGTTCAGACACAATTTGAAGCAGTAAATGAAATTTAAAGCTGCTTGATAGTTATGTGCTACCTAGATGAGCCTTTGGACAGTTTGCTTTTGTTAAAAAAGGGGGTTTATTTCAGATAACATAAAAAAGATCAACGAAGGTAAAGAACAAGTATAGAAGCTAGGAATAGACTAAACAACCCAACAGAAGACAAATTTATTCAATTAACTAAAATCAACCGCAATTGCTATACGTCTCAGTAGAAATATATTGACACATTCAAAAAAAAAAAAAATTGCTGGTAAAAATAAAGAATTCATGCATGCAGGCAAACACCACACAAAACAATTTGAGTAAATGGAACAAATCTACAATTAATTTGATATCTCAACGCACACTGTTAAGACCACAAAAATACCTTCCATAAGAGAAATAATCTGTGAAGGGAGCAAATTTTTTGTAGATGGTACAAAATGTGCATCTCAAATGATAACCTCATTGCACGGTCAGATACTAACCTCAAGCTTGTACCAAGACCACTAAGAAGGAATGGTCTTCTATCATTTTGTAAATTTGGTTATAGAGTTAAAGTAAACACCACAGGACATGTCACCAGAAAGGACCCTACCAACATTCAAGATCAGCTAGCAGGTATCATTTCTGAAATAAGCAGCAATTTCATCAATGTTGCACTACATCTTGAATTCTGCTATAAAAAGTCCTCTCTTTGTCACGATCCTGAATGTGAATTATGACACACCCAACAAAAATACCCTATTTGAAAGAGATTCCAACATGATTGTCAGATAAGCTTTCATCTAAGGATACCAAGATATCATGCCTTAAACAAACAAAACTAATGACTGGGAAAATAAATAAGATGCTGAGAATATCTCAAAGCAATAGTGAAGATTCTTCCAAGCTGAATTTGGAATATTGCATCACAAAGTTCCTTTTTTCACAGAATGCATGAAAACACAAATATACCTGGAGCATAAGTTTTTAGAAATTAGTGAACAACCTGTCATACAATTTACGTATAAGGAATGAAAATGAATAGTGTGATATAAATTAATAAAGATCTCCCGATGAAACACCTTTTTAAAGTTCGTAAGTTGTTTGTATGGGAAGATACCGAGTGGTACCGAGCATGTACCTAGCAGTACCGAGCATATACCTAGCAATACCGAGCATGTACCTAAGTACTGAGCGGTACCGAGCATGTACCTAGCAGTGCCGAGCATGTACCAAGCAGTACTGAGCATATATTGAGCAGTACCGAGCATGTACTGAGCGGTACCGAGCATATACTGAGCAATACTGAGCATGTACCGAGCAATACTGAGCATGTATTGAGCGGTACCGAGCATATACCGAGCAATACCGAGCATGTACCTAGCGATACCTCATTTAATAACCGGACACGCGTGTCCGATTTTAATTTTAATTTTTTTAATTGCGACACTCTAATGCCGTGTCGGACACGTGTCCATGCCGTGTCTGACGCGTGTCTGTGTTCGACACGTGTCTGACACTGCATACCCTCTCTAAGTGCCGTGTCGGTGCATCATAGCTCTTACTCTTGTGAGGATCCCTCTTCTCTCAAGACATTTAGGAGCTTTGAAGGCGCCATCGGTACCACCACAAACACAAAGCCAATGCATGGCTGATCCAGATGTTGACTACGGCCTCTCCTACGACGAGCAAGGGTTCGTGTGCATCTTGCATTCAACCTTCTTCGACATCAACCCGCGCATCGACCACACCGTAGAAGAATACGTGGAGCGCATCCTGGATACCCTGGTCGATGTTATTGAAGAACAAGTTGGAACCGCGAGTGGAGGATTGCAACCGATCCTTAACGAAGGTTTTCTAATTTCTTTTTCTCGTATTTCTTAACGTCTAATCATTTCTTGTGATTTGATTGTAGTCATGAAGGACGCGTTTGCCCGATTCTGTCGAGCTTAGTAAACGTCTAAATCTTATTGTTATACTAGGAATTTTCGTTGAAAGCTACTACTTTGCATGATATTGTTTTCCTACGATATTTTGATGATTCAAATATCTTGATATGCAACTTAGCCTAAATGAAAGTGTCCGCTCTTACGTTTTGATTCGTCGTTTTATTTGCTAATAGTTCTATTTGTTATTTCTCTAATCTATAAATTGTGCAAGCTCTTAACCAAACCATTCCAAGCATTGTAGTCCTACATCATCTGGTATCAGAGCATGGTATGCTCTTATTGCATGTATTAGGATCCATCGTAGAGTTCTCTTTTTAGCATTTTACTTTATTACGCATTCCGCCTTTGCATCTGTTTCATTTAGAAATTGATAGGTTGTTGTCCTTGTTTCTACATTCATTTTGCAAAGCATAAGTGTGTTTATTTCATATTACTTGCTGGCCTTTGCATCATAGTCAACGTAGGTGTCCTGAAGTGAACCCCAATGGACTCGAAACAACTTGGTAGGACTTTAGACTTATTGGTAGGCCAAATAAACAATATTAGCCAGCAACTCAAAGAGAACCAAGCCGACCTAGCTGAGCTTCGTAGAGACACCACTGAGCGATTTGACACACTTGAGCGAGCAAGAGAGCATCCTATCCCTTACACCCCATCGAGACCACTGTCTATGTATGGGGATGACACCTACCTGGATGAGAGGCAACATCGTGCCAGTCATCGAGTTCCCCACCAGGGACATGACCCACGTCATGATCCTGATGTACCACTCATGAAAAATATTAAAGTTGATGCTCCTACCTTTGATGGCACTCTTGATCCCCAGCTCTTCCTGGACTGGGTCAAAGGTATGGACAGTTTTTTTAAGTGGTATAATATCTCCGAGACTAGGAAGGTCAGTTTTGCGGAGATAAAATTCACGGGTAGGGCGAGCCAGTTTTGGGCCAACTTAGAGAGCCTTAGGGAAGCCAGGAATGATTACCCCATTATCGATTGGCCGTCCATGAAGCGAGAATTCAAGCAGAAGTACTTTCCTCTCTCATACTTCCCTCGATTATTAGATAGGTGGAATATGCTGACTGAAAGCAACAAACCAGTTAAGGAGTACATCGCCTCGTTCGATGACTTCCTGATTCGTTGCAAGGGGGAGACCTCTACCACCCCCGCGCAGATCTTGTCTATGTTTCGGACCGGGTTGCGAGAGGATCTTCGTAATGAGCTGTTTGCCCGAAATTTCACTACACTGGAGAATGCCTACAGCCTAGTGCTTGATCTAGAGGAGACCCGTTCACAGCACCTGAGTTGTTCCCATGACTCTAGGCCCTCCTACAGACCGTCTGTTAGTTCCACTCCTCACACTTCTGCTGCTCGACCCACTTCCGGGAGCACGACCCGACCACCCACGGGTCCTCCTGCACCTCGATCTGATTTTAGGAATAAACCTCCCACTCCTCAGTCCAGTCCCGGGACCAAGTGCTTTCGATGCCTGGGGTATGGGCACATCGCTTCTCAGTGCTCCATAAAGTCTCGATCATCGAGGAGATTACTGAAGACGATCTCGAGCCTGAGGTTGATCATATTTACCAGGTTGAGGATGAAGGCGAGTACTTCGAGGAGGATGACGACACTACTATCCTCCATTGCCTTCAGAAATTGGATACATCTCCCATCTGCGTGGTGAGATGTGCGATATTACACCAGACACCCACGGATGACTGGTGTAGGACCACAATTTTCCACACCTACACCAAAATCAAAGACAAGAACTGTAAGGTCATCGTGGATAGTGGTAGCTATATAAATGCTGTTTCTTCCAGCATGGTATCCAAGTTGGGTCTTTCTGTCGTTCCTCATCCCAACCTGTATAAGGTAGCATGGGTCAACTCCACTGCCTTGGAGGTAAAGGAACAAAGCAACTTACCTATCTCCTTTACTGACTACAAGGAGAACGTTTGGTGCGATGTACTGATTATGAATGTTGGACAAATTCTTTTGGGTCGCCTATGGATTTATGATAACGATGTCCACATTTTTGGGCTTTCGAACACCTGCGTGCTCAAACATGCAGGCAAAAATATTATACTTTTTCCATTGCAGCCCCGGGTTACGGATGACTCAAAATCCAACCCCATTAAGTCTAAGAAAGGACTGAACCTAGTCACCGCCAAGGTTCTGGACGTTGAGGTTGCTCAAGGCGCACCTCTATACGCCTTAATGGGTCGTGAGATCCTCGCCGAATCTGACGAACCTATTCCTCAAGAAGTTCAACCCATTTTGGGACAGTATGCTGATGTCTTTCCCGTTGATCTTCCAGATAAGTTACCCCCACTTAGAGATATTCAACATGTAATAGACTTCATCACTAGAGCCTCCCTCCCGAACCTGCCGCATTATCGCATGAATCCCATAGAACATGTCGAGCTTAAGAAGCAGGTCGATGAGTTACTGCAGCGAGGTTTCATTAAGGAGAGTCTTAGTCCCTGCGCGGTGTCAGCTCTTCTTACATCGAAGAAGGACGGATCTTGGAGAATGTGTATTGATAGTCGTGCTATCAACAAGATCACGGTTTAATATCGTTTCCCTCTTCTGAGACTGGACGATATGCTCGATATGATGATGGGTGCTACTATGTTCTCCAAAATTGATCTCAAAAGTGGATACCACCAAATCCGGATTCGACCCAGAGATGAGTGGAAAATGGCCTTCAAGACTAAGGATGGTCTCTACGAGTGGTTAGTCATGCCTTTTGGGTTAAGTAACGCCCCGAGCACCTTCATGAGGATCATGAGTCAAGTGTTGCGCTCGTTTATGGGAAAGTTTGTCGTCGTCTACATTCTTATTTATAGTCAGTCGATTAGTCAGCACTCAGACCACTTAAGGAAAGTTTGTGAGATTTTAAGGAAGGAACAGCTTTATGCCAATCCTAAGAAATATATCTTCCTTGTAGATCGCGTCATCTTTTTGGGCTTCATCGTTTCAGCCCAAGGGGTTTCCGCAGACCTTAAGAAGGCGAAGACTATTGTTGAATGGTCTGTCCCTCAGAACATCCGGGAAGTTCGTAGCTTCCACGGATTAGCCACCTTCTATGGGAGATTCATTCAAAATTTTAGCACTATTGTATCTCCTATTACTGATTGCTATGATGCACGGACACGGACACGGCGACACGGACACGACACGACACGATACGGACACGGGTACAACGCGGACACGACAATATAATTTTTTTATATAATATATATATATATTAATGTAATATCATATTAAAAATGACAAATAATAATAAATGAATGACATGATAACTTGTCTAGCTTATAATATAAAATATTTAGTACAAAATATCTAGTACAACCACAAAAATATAAGCAAATAATCACTTACTACAACATCAAGCATTCAAGCTTCAATTTTTTAATCGGACACGTTTTCGGTGTGTCCGACACGTGTCGGAGGGTGTCGTGTCGGACACTGCATGCCTCTTTGAGGAGAAGTGTTGGTGCATCATAGACTGATTGCTTAAAGAAGGGTGATTTCCACTAGACCCCGGCGTCCACTAGAGCTTTTGATGAAATTAAGCAACAGATGGTGGAAGCCCCAGATGAGACTTCCTGATTTCTGCAAAGTCTTCGAAGTAACCTGCGATGCTTCGGGGGTCGGAATTGGAGGAGTCCTCTCCTAGGAAGGTCACTCAGTAGCCTATTTTAATGAAAAACTTAATGATATTCGGCAGCGTTATTCCGTATGACAAAGAGTTTTACGATGTGATCCAATCTCTTCGTTATTGGCGACACTACGTGCTCCCGCAAGAGTTTGTCATTTTCTTGGATCACAAAGCTCTGCGTTATATCAACTCCCAAAAGAAATTAAATGCACGTCACGATCGATGGGTCGAGTTCCTTCAGGAGTACACTTATACCCCTTAGACATAAGGCGGGAGTTGAAAATAAAGCTACTGATGCTCTCAATCGTCGTATGATGACTACTACTGAGATGAGAGTAGAAGTCATGGGATTTGACCAAATAAAGAGGGACTATTTGGAATACCCCGACTTCAAGGAGACTTACTCTCTCTTGTCCATAGGCAGCATGCGTCTTGTGGACAATTTTCTATTGGAGGATGGTTATCTTTTCAAAGCTCAAAGGCTTTGTATCCCTAGCACCTCCCTTAGGAAGTTTTTTGTCTGGGAACTCCACGCCGGAGGCCTCGCTGGGCACTTTGGTCGGGACAAAACTATCGAAGCCGTGGAGTATCGTTTCTATTGGCCCAGTCTTAAAGAGATGTCGGTCGGAGGGTCAGTCGATGCCACACCTGCCAACAGGCCAAACAACGCAAACAAAACACGGGTCTGTACACTCCTCTGCATGTCCCTAGTTGCCCTTAGCAGGATGTTAGCATGTATTTTATCTTAGGCCTACCCAAGAAGATTCATAGGAACGACGCCATCTGTGTTGTTGTTGATCGGTTTTCCAAAATAGCGCATTTTCTTCCTTGCTCCAAAACATCCGATGCCTCTCACATTGCTAAGCTATATTTTAATGAGGTCATCCGTTTACATGGTTTACCCAAAACCATTGTATCGGGTTGAGATGTGAAATTCACTAGCTATTTTTGGAAAATCCTGTGGATGAAAATGGGCACTAAATTATAATTTTTCATTGCCTTTCACCCACAGGCGAATGGCCAAACCGAGGTAGTTAATAGGAGTTTGGGTAATTTGTTGTGGTCTTTGGTTGGCGAGCACATTAAGGACTAATATTTCATTTTGCCTACTGCTGAGTTTGCTTATAATAATTCTATTAACCGAACCACTGGCTTAAGTCCTTCTGAAATTGTATATGGGTTCAAACCTAGACAGCCGTTAGACCTTATACCCATGTGTTATATGTATAGAATTTCTGAGTCTGCATCATCATTTGCATGAACTTTATAAAGAAATTGCACAACAAATTGAAAACGACGATTTAAAACTTTTGAGGTTGGTGACTCCGTGATGGTGCAGATTCGTCCAGAACGGTTCCCGCAGGGAACAGTTAAGAAGTTGCATGCTAACAGTGCTGGACCATTCAAAATACTTAAGAAAATCAATGATAATGCTTATGTAGTAGATCTGCCTACAAAATTCAACATCAATCCCTCTTTTAACATAGAAGATCTAGTTGCATATGAAGGTCCTATGAAAGTCCTGACTTCAACCCATCAAATCCACTCATACAGCAACCTTGTGTGACCCCACCGTGTGAGAACCCAAACCTACATCCACTACCAAATATTCCCAAATCACCCATGGCAGAAAAGGTGGACTCGATCCTAAGTGATGATATCATATCCAGAAGGGAAGGTGGACGAAGAAGGTACTTAATCAGGTGGAAAGGAAAGCCCGAGTCAGAGAATACTTGGTTGGATCGCGAGGAGTTGCAGCAGATTGACCCAGATGCATTAGAGATCTACAAGAGTACCAGAGACACTCGACGGAGTCGAGCTTTCTCCCATCCCGGGTGAATGATGGGGATATCAGATTGTGGAAGGTTTATCAGAGACGTGACCGTCGATCTACGACCACAATTGGGTCGTCGTATTTTTGATTTATTTGATGCATTTTACTATTTATGATGTCTTATTGTATTTGCTTTATTATCTTTCTCGTTGTACCCTTTTAGTAAGGGAGGTCGTATGTAAGCCCTAGGAGCATTGTAGTCATTTATATTTTGATTAATTGTAAGAGGCTATTTATAGCCCAATTATACTTCTTTTCAAGCAATGAATGAATGAATGGTAAATTTTCTTCCCTTGTGATTTCTTTGTGAGATCGTATGAGCATTTAAGAGAGAAATCCCTAGGAGAGGGAGATCAGATCACCCACCAACCTTGGAGACGGCCGGGTTCGTGGTTCTTTATTCTTGTCTTCTCATTAACCCCTTCTCCCAAACCTTGCCGCCGGTCATTTGACTCCCCCCCTTAATTCCTCCCACAATTAAGCCCCATAGCCGCCGACCCCTATTGGAGAGAATTGGGGATTTGTTTCCTAAAGCTCCCTTTTCTCTCTTGGAAAGATTTCCAAATCTCCCCACTCCTCCTGGGCCGATTTTCCAAAGCCCACAATTCTTAATTTATTTCCAAAACCAAATGATTGATTTAGGAAATAAACCCCCATCCCCATCCCTTATTATGCCACCAGCCCCCCCCCCCCTCTCTCTCTCTCTCATTAATTCCCCTCCCCAATTTAGGGGAGTTAATTCCTCTTAATTTTCTCCTCTCTTAATTTCAAAATCTGAAATAAATTTCAGATTTTGAATTTAAATATCCCCTTCAACCTAATCCTAACTCCACGTGTGGCTCCCCGGTTTTGGCTGAACCCTCTCCTCTCCTTAGCTCTTACTCTTGTGAGGATCCCTCTTCTCTCAAGACATCTAGGAGCTTTGAAGGCGCCGTCGGTACCACCACAAACACAAAGCCAATGCATGGTCGATCCAGATCTTGACTACGACCTCTCCTATGATGAGCAAGGGTTCGTGTGCATCTTGCATTCAACCTTCTTCGATATCAACCTGCGCATCGACCACACCGTAGAAGAATACGTGGAGCGCATCCTGGATATCTTGGTCGAGGCTATTGAAGAACAAGTTGGAACCGTCGAGTGGAGGATTACAACCGATCCTTAACGAAGGTTTTCTAATATCCTTTTCTCGTATTTCTTAACGTCTAATCCTTTCTTGTGATTTGATTGTAGTCATAAAGGACGCGTTTGCCCGATTCTGCCGAGCTTAGTAAACGTAGGGAATTGAGTGCACTTCATTGTTTTCTAAATCTTATTGTTAGATTAGGGATTTTCGTTGAAAGCTACTACTTTGCATGATATTATTTTCCTACGATATTTTGATAATTCAAATATCTTGATATGCAACTTAGCTTAAACGAAAGTGACCGCTCTTACGTTTTAATTCATCGTTTTATTTGCTAATAGTTATATTTGTTATTTCTCTAATCTATAAGTTGTGCAAGCTCTTAACAAAACCATTGCAAGCATTGTAGTCCTACATCAGATTTACCAATATCCATTGGCTCAAGCTTTTGGGTTATAAATGGGTTTAATCCCTGGTGTGTTTGGCCCAACTTCAATTCTCAGTGGTTCCACACCCTAATAAGTGGTATAATATTTGGGATTAGACGGTTCATGAAATTTGTGGCTCCCATGAAACTTGGCTCCTCCAGTACGATTGAACAAGGTTCAAGAGTGGGTGACTCTGATGATCTGATGTCAGATCTACATAATTGTGTAGGTTCTTAGTGCATGATACTTGATTGTATTTGAGTGGGAGTGATCAATGATATGAAGAGGCTGCACATGATGAGAAGATTGTTTAGGCATGCTATACTATTGGGTTTACTCCATTAAATATGTTGATGTAGAAGCAACAAGTGGTTGATTCTCGATCGTAGGTTTAAGTTTTTTGGCTTGAAAATGAGTTTGACCATTGGTCTGTCTGGTCCCCTTTGGCTCAACACTTCTTAAAAATAATATATAATAAACAATGGTGCAATCATACAACAACAATAACAATAACAAGAAGCCTTTATCCCACTATGTGGTGCAAATATGTGAATTTTAAATGCTTACTAATGGTACTTGCATAAGTTCATATTCTTTTTTAAACATGTTAATGTGCAAGTATATGGGTTAGTTGGCATGCACATAAATGTGGATTAAGGGGGGCCTGAGAGGGCACATACCCTCCAAATTTTAACATAACTTTATATAGGTCGTATTTTTTACTTTTATAATTATAATTTTCACAAAAATATTTCATATGTGTGCCCCTTCAAAATTTTAGGGTTTAGAGTTACATATATCTCTTGGAAAATAATGATTTTTTAAAATGATCAATTTGTGCCTCCACTAAGAAAAATATCTGGCTTTGCCATTGCTTGCACATTTGTACTCCAATCCTTATAAAATTCATGGATATCTTGTATTCATATGTTGTGCTATATCACATATTGCTTTCATGTTTTATGCCAAACATTCCAAGAAAATTGCCAGACCTTTTTTGTCTTATGTTCCTACTAATTCAATATGAGATTTACCATTATTGATGAGCTCCACACCCTGTTCACCCCTGCATGCAGTTATTTCCAAATGCACTCCTAACTTTTCAGGCAGATTGACCTGATATGCATTTGTCAAGGAAGCCACCATTTCTTTGTTAATTATTGTTATTGATTTTGCTGCTTGATTTTTTTTTCTCTGCATATAAGTAAAAGCAATTGAGAGTAATATAGATAGCTTGTGTTGGAAGTAGATTTGTCCTTCAAAAATTATTAAAATTGTAGGCAGGCCTGCCAGGATTGTGAGTGAGAATTGAGTTCGAATTGAACACAAATGAAGGGAGGATGTTGCTTGACTCAGGGTAGGGGTGGGATGGACCAAAATAGAGGATGCCTAACCCCCTATTTATAGGCTTAACTCAGCTATATAAGAAATTACTATCATTTGAGTAATCTAATGTCCTTATAGCTAGGCATGTAGATTGTTTGAATGTGATGCTTGTTGGAAGGCGGGTTACTTTATGAATAAGTATCTTTTAGTTGGATACTGTGGATAAAAAATGATCACTGAGTCTTAGTTGACCACATACTATTGTTAATTATTGCAAGTTGTGTACTTTCAATAGAATATTGCTTAGTTGACACTAACATCCTAGTATGTTTATTTGGTATTGGTGTTTTAGTATTGTTAATTGGGCATTGCTGGCTTATTTTTTTAGATGGTTACCATTTGTCGGGTTCTTGGTTAGTGACTTGTAGTTTACAACTTTTTTATGAGTCTGCTCATTGATAATTTGTTTCAATGAACCATTGATTTAGTTGGGCCAATGCAGATGATTATGCTCAAATTAGTAGCAACTTGGCCCATCTCACTAAATTGGACTTGGTCAACATGAATGTGTGACTGTGTTACTAAATATGACAAGTTCAATGACAGCACCATCATTTGCTACGATCCAACTCTCAAGTCATAGAAAACACAGGGAAAATAATAATAATATTGCATTATGTAGGATAACTAGATAATTTTAAGCATGTCTATAGCTCCTAGTAGATGGAGGGGAAGGCTTTAGACGATATACAATGCCTATAACTGCTGGCTTTAGGGAGAGAAGGGGGATGGGTCAAAGTTTAAGAGTTTCACATCTTTGCTTTCTTTTTGCCCTAATTCTTTCTTAGAGACTTGTTTATAATTTATAAGAAAACATGTAGTCTCACTAATAACCTAATATCAACCTAATACCCATTAAATACTCATTACATTATTTATTTTCTAGTAGTTTCACATCTTTGCTTTCTTCTTCCCTAACTTTTCCTAAAAGGCTTGTTTAGAGCATATAGGAAAATATAAAGGCCTACTAATAACCTAATAGCAATCTAATATCCACTAATTATCGATTACATTATTTGTTCTCTAACATGATCACTTAAGCATGATTTAAGCATAAAACTATGGTGGGATACAATGAAAATTTTGATGTATGAAAATAGCCAAGTTACACAGACTTTGAACTTAATGGCCATTAGAATATTGGGAATTAGGGAAACTAAAGAAGTGAGAGAAAAAATGGATGAAAAGATTGATGCAAAAGGAAAACAAAGATGAACAAGATTGAATTTTTCCACTTCTTTTGTATCTCATATCTTTCTTCATAAAGAAATTTGCAAGGCATGAATCAAGTGGTTTATAGAGCAGGATTGTGAGCGAATGGGCATATAAAGTGCCAATGGTTTTTTGACACAAGCAATGGATATGATATTTAGTTTATATTTCTTTAAATTACCTTGAATGCGTATTTTTTGGTAAAACATAAGACGTATAAAACAATCCTAGTAAAATTATGGAAGTAATGATATGTTAAATAGAAGTTTAGTTGTCGAGTTTAGGTAATAAGGGCTTTGCTCTTTTTGTGTAGAAACATTTTGTTTCATTTTGTATTGTTGGTGTTCCTCCTCTACGTGATCGAAAATACTTTTAGATAATCCTATGCTATCATAACCTGGAGGATGACTTGGAGTAATAGTTAGGTTGTCTCAGTTGTGACTTTGAATTCAGAGAATTGAGTCATAGAAATAATATTTTTGTGCATGAGTATGGACGTGTGCATTGGTGGCATCATAATGCAATGGTTACACTTCTTAAGTTGTTAAATCCAGATGAACATACAATCATGATGTAGAATGAGAGGCAAAAAAAAAAAATGTTCCTTTAACTTGTTTTTCTGTTGTTTTGATGCCCTGTTTTTCCAATTATTGCTAGGGGGATCTAAACTTCTTAGACTTTAATTTGCTAGAAGTTAAAGTAAACACCGCCAATATTTTTAATACTTTCTTATAAATCTTTCTTAAAGCTCATTTATGTATGTTCTTTTATTTTTTGTTATAATTCTTCATAGTTTATCACTTTATTTAATTTGTATTGTTGAAGCAGGTATTGCAAGGGCATGATAATGAAGTATGGTGCCTACAATTCTCTCATGAGGGAAAATATTTAGCATCTTCATCCAATGATAGATCCGTGATCATATGGGAGGTAACTTCTTGTTTAGATGTTTTTGATCAGATACTCATTGCAATCATTATTTTTATTGAGTGGTTTGCCTCTTTATTTGTTTGGGATTTTTTTATCTAAAATTAAACTAATTATTTTTTTCATAACAAATGGTTTTCTTTTAAGTTGGATTGTTTATTGGCTATAGTAACATGGACAACTGCCTACAACAATAATTAAGTTGCATCCATTGTTAGCCTGGAGTCGCAAGTTAGAATCATGGAAACCAATTGTGTACAGCTCATTGGTAACGCTGCTACACCTCCAATTACTTATGTTGGAATAAGCCTCTTATATTGCGAATAAGTTTTAACTGAAGTACGAATAATTGGGTTTAATTTTTTTTAATATTTTTTTTTTTGCATAGTGCAATGTCCGATGTATTTTACTAATGAAATTTATTTGCATTGTTGATTGTGATTTTGTTATTTATTCAATTTATCTTTATATTCATTCAAAATAATTAATAGTGTGTTGGTTAGCTGACTCCATTATAATTTGGAGGTTCTAAGTCTTAATTATGGAAACGTTCTCTCTGCAATTAAGATATAAGATGTTAATATCAACACTTTATCGGACCTTGCATTGGCAAGAAGCCCATGCACTAAGAACACCCTTTTTAAATTTAAAGATAAGGCTATCAAAGTATTTTAAGTTTTCTCATGTCATTGCTCTTGGAGGTTTCTTAAAAAAATACAATACAATTTTGTGATATAGTAGCTGTTTTGCATGTTGAGACTTGGCATCGGATGCTAATAGATTGTAGTAGATAGTTGGACATAGTGGAATAATAGAAAGGATACTGGATGGTGTGTTAGGAAAAACCTACTTGCTTATGAGGAAGCACCTATTAGGAACAAATACAATGAACCAAGGTTTAAAATTGCGTAAAAAAGCCTTGATGCGTTTTTCATCCGTGAGGCGAAGCTTAAGCCTTGAGGCGATGTGAGACGTAAGCCTCACGGACGAAAAATTGCGTAAATGAGAATTTAAGTATTCTAGCAGGTAAATAACAGTAAGAGTCTATGATATAATAAAAACATCTAAATGAGAAGTGAACTTAGTGGAAAACAATAAAATAGATGCAATATATGTATCTCATAGCATAATTCAAAGTACAAAACTACAAATTGAAGTCTATCAAAAGTCAAAACTCCCAAAGTACAAATAAGATAAAACATCTAAAATCCAATCATGTCCCATCACTAAATGGGTCTTCAAGTGAGGCATCTTCATCTTCAATTGTATCTATGAATGTTAAATCTTCATCATCTTCAATGTTACCAACTTTTCTCTTCCCTGTTCAATAAGAATGATTAGTGTGTTGTTAATTGTATATATTTTAAATATAATAGCACATAATAAATTGTGAGATACCTTTGTTTGCTTGTTGTGCTACAGTACTAATGGATGTGTGTGGTGTGGTACTAGTAGATGTGCCCGCTTGATCTGCTTCGCCCCTCAAGACATCCACACTTAGATCTTCTAGCTGCAAGTCTGATAATGACAAATCTGTCTCATCATCTATGAACCACTCATTATCAGACACCACATAATCACACACCAAAGGGTCCTCATCATCTTCAACCCTTTGTTCCTCAACCTTTTATCTCTCAATCTCTTGTTGTGCATAATATACACAAGAGAGTTCATTTTGAGTGTTGAAAGTTGATTTCTTCTTTTCGTTTGCACTTGACTATATGTGCTCCAGTTTCGCTCATACCGAGAGGAAGAACAAGTGAGGTTCAAAACTCTAACTTCAAAACTCTATGACTCAAGGGTGGAATCACCAAATTGCATCCACCATTCAACTATTTTCAATAAGACCCATTTAGCGAGCGTTTGACATATTAAAGTATTATGCATGTACGGATACTTTGCAAAAATAAGCTTACATGGAGAGCGTTTGACAATAGTAGATCTTGGTGCTTGCAGATCAAAAAATCACTCTCTATTCTGAAATAGAACAAGTTCTAAATCTGCAAACTCCCTGGTGGACTGGTCCGGTATCAGCTGCTCCATGCAATGGTACAAGCCCAGCTTCACCTTTGGATATGATTATTTCCTCTCTGAATGCTGAAATTGAGGATTGAGATAATATGTCGTTGCATATAGATGATGGTGTAACTGGACCTCTCATCGAGCATCGATGATATCCCAAATCTCTCTATAACTGGCCTCCTCTCCTCCCAAGTTATGTGCAATCAATTCCTTTGCCTTATTCATTGCATTATATATAAAACCAATGACTGGTTTCTTCTCACCATCCACTAATTGTAGCACTTATACTAAGGGTCTTGTGCTCAATATGGCATAGGCCACACTTGCCCAACATTGCCAGCGTGAGAGGCGGCAAGAAGGCCGGTTGAGGGAAGCTAGGGCATTTGGATTGCGTGCGGACTGTGGCTCATTCGTTCAGTTCGGGTAGGCAGAAAGAAGAAAGGGAAGAATTTAGTTTTTTTATTAACAACTTAAGTGTGTAGGACCCAACTCCATGAGGCGCATGCCTCACCCTTTATTGTGCAATTGCGCCTCAGGAGTCATGAGGCGTAAGCCCCACCAAGTCCCAAAATTGCTTAAGCAATGAGGCTCTTTTGGGTAGAATTGCGTAGAGGCGCGCCTCTTATTGCGCAATTTTAAACTATGTAATAAACACAAAGTAATAACAAAAAGATTAATACGGTTTGGCCAAAAGAGTAGTCAACTTCCAAAGGACATGAGAGAATGTAATCTACTATCAAGAAGCTACACTGTTGTATGTTCAAATAAGGCATACAAATAATCTCCTTCAAGCCCAAGTACACTCAAATTTTCTAATTTAAATTTATAAAAAAGGTCATTTCTGATATTTTCTAGCCAAGTCTTTTTAGGTCTACTTCTGCCTTTCTTAACATAGGCCAAATCCAATACATTTACTCTTAACCTGGTCATCGAAAGGCTGACGTTTTCTGTGTTCGAACAATCTAAGAGAAATCTCTCTAATCTTATCTACCACTATAGCCACTCCAATCGTTTCACATATATACTCATTCCGCATTCTATCTTTAAGACTAAATCCATTCATCCACCTGAATATCCTCATCTCTGCAACACTTAATTTTATTCTTCTCTTTTAATGGCCAACATCCACGCCATCAAACATTGCAGGTCTCACCAATAACTTATAGAATATTTTCTTAAGTTTGAGGTGTACTTTTCTATCACACAAGCACCAACTTTTAGTAGTAAAGCATCACAAAATTACCACCAAAAAATTTGTTGAAAATTTTTCTAGCTTCTCAAAGAAGGGAGTAGATGATGGTGTAAGAGGAGGAGGAAGAAGTCAACATTAACACTTCCATTCATCTTATCCTCATTATAACAAACAAGAGCTATACTTTGAAACCTACAAAAGTGCCTCAACGACGGAGCTAGAGATGAAGCTGAAGGCTTCCTTGCTTTAGGAGTGCGAATCAGCTTTAAGCTTTGAGGGAAAAAAATGTAGACATGAGGTTGAGGAAAAGTTCAAGGATCTTGAGCTATTTTATCCTCTCCAAGTTCACATTTACCCTCTCGCTGCAAGGCTTTTGAAGATGAATGGCGTCACATAGGGGTGTCAAAATGGGTTTTCGGATTAGATTCGTGTCCAACCTAAAAATGACCTGCCCTCAACTGAACTCAACCCGATTAGACAAACATGTTTGAAATTCAAACTCGGACCTGATGCACCCTAACTCGGGTTGACCCGATCACCCGGTTGAGCGCTATTGCACAGGTAATCGCGACTGCACGAGGTGGGTGAGAAAAGCAAGGACGTTGCACGAGCGGGCAAGCGGAGACGAGCGCAACTGCGGACGGACAAACCGTAAGGACGAACGTGCGAAGACGAGCACACCTATGATGAACGGGTCAGTTCCAGGTTGATTTCGAGTTTTCGGGTTGACCCGAACCCGCGAGTCAGAATTTGAAACCCAAACTTGACCCATTTTTCAAATGGGTTGACCTGAACCCAAAATTTTAGGGTCAGATTTTCGAGTCGTGTCAAATATTGACACCCCTAGCGTCACATTGTTGCGATGATCGACTAAGCTTTGGACTAGGAGGGATCTCCTTGTTGAGGTCACCATCAAAGAAGGCATATTACTAGTGGTGATCAGTTCTCTTCTTGTTCTCACTTGCTTGTTATGCTTGGAGCCGTAATTCACATGCTTAAAAGGGAAGTGAGATATTTTGGGGAGAAATAAGGTTGGATTAGTTCAATTTAAGAAAGTTAAACTCTGAGTTATTACATTCTCTCCATCTTAAAAGGATTTCGTCCATGAAATTCAAATCAATTTGAATTAATGATAGACAATAGAACTTACACACATACCTAAACGTCAAAGCTTATTTTTCATTTTAACATTGGCATAAAGAGTCAAACATAAGTTCAAGTATTATAGAAGCCATTTGAATGAAAGAATCCATTGGCCCAACTAATTAAGAAGCTTAATCGAAATGAGGTGTAGGTCCAATGCAGATCAATTTTACATACAATCAACACATCAAATGTACATTTCAAACACATGATAGAGACCCATCATGCCTATCAAATATGAAGTGAGGCATACACAACATGAAGTCCCGCTTAATCCAGCCATTCATTTACAAACCACCGGATAAAGAAATGGGATGTTCCCGTCCCTCACATATTTAAACAACCAACTGTATGTGAGTATTACAAAAATAACAATCTTATTCTTGAAACAATCAAACAAACACTAAGACTATAAGACTATAAGATGAAAACACATTGTAACCTAGCCAACAAATTTCACGCTATAGAGCAGTCAATAACACCATGCATAGCAATTTCAAAAAGTAAAGCCTCTCAACATAACTCATTCAAATTATAGATACCAAAAGTATGATAAACATGGTTTCTTAGTTTTGCATAAAATTTTGCTAACCCATAAAATTTCACCTGATAATTATTATTGTACCCAAGTTGTCAAAATATGAAA